GGGCCGCGGAGGGGCGGAGCCTGGGGCGCGGGGCGGGGCCTGAGCGCGGGGCGGGGCCTGGGCTCGGGAGGCACCAACCAGTCCCTGCCCCACTGGTCCAAGACCCTCTTTGCTTGCAGCCACAGCGAGGAAGCGGCCAGGGAGCGAAGAAGCCTAGATGTAGTAGGCGCGAGAGGCCAGGCACCGGACTTGGGGAGACTGAGTCCCAGAGGTCTGGGTGGCCTCCTCTGGTGTGTGTGGTGGCACCAGCTTTCCCTTGGCAGACCAGTGCCCCTCACGGGGCTCTCCGATCAACCCCTGCCCACCCTTCAGCTCCTGAGTCCGGCCCCCCTTTAAGGCTCGCTGGTACCCGTGGCAGCTACCGTGTCCAGACAGGCACGGCCCTCCGCAGCTGGCACCCCCGGTGGCCTCCGGAGCTCGCGGGGCGGAGCCGCCGTAGAAATAGAAGAAGCAGCTTGCCAAGCTTGGGGTCAGGAAGGGAACTCACATTTATAGTTTCCGCGATGAGCCAGACACTCACTGTTAGACTTCTAATAGGCATTGTTTTATTCAATCCTCTGAACAATCCTGACTCTTTTGTAAAGATGAGGACACAGAGACTTGAAGTTGTTTGTCCAGGATGCCAAAGCCAGTCCACCGCAGAGCAGGACTGCAACCCAAGTCCCTTGTGCTGTCCCTGAAGAGAGCCAGAAACCTGTGTAATTAGGAAATACTACCACCTGCGGGGAATTAAATAAGCAACTATGAGGACACATGGTGCAAACTATAAAAAGGCTTTGTACAGATCGTTGAGCATATTTTATTTTTGTGCCAGAACTGAGGCTTGAAAATCAGGGCCTAGGCACTGTCAAATTCTGCTCAAGAATGGTGCTATACTACTTGAACCACAGCTCCATTTCTGCCTTTTTAGTGGTTAGATGGGGATAAGAGCCTCAAAGACTTCTGGCTGAGCTGAGTAGATCTAGGACTGCTCAGGCCACCTCCTGTAGTAGCTAGGATTACAGGCTTTAAGCCACCAATGCCTGGTGTTGGATGTTTGATCATACTCAAAAAATAAGGCCTAACCTGTCTTCTAGCTTTGGCATTGGGGATGAGGGAAGGTAATCGTTACAAGGTGTTGGAGTGATATCTTAACCTAGCTTCGGAAGGTTTGCCATGTCCTGAAGGATATGTTGGTCTTGTAGTCCAAGAATCAGGACAGCCACAGTAAAGGGAGAACAGCAGATGGAAAGGCTGGTAGGGTGAAGCCTACAGGAAGCTAAAAGTCAGGGTGGTCCCGGCATTGAGGCCCTGTCCTAGAGGTTGGGAAAGACATTCAATGTTCTGAGCAGGACTGGTATTTATTTGTTTAGAAAGATTTCTTCCAGAAACAAGGGGGAAGGGGAAGAGTCAGGCCAGCAGGTGGTGGCTGTGGCAGTAATCCCTGATGAGGGACAGTGGTCACAGAGGGGAGAAGAAAAAGAGACAAGAACAGAAAAAATAGATCCACAAGTCTGATCTTTACTACTGAATGGCTCTAGTTAGCCACAGGCTTCAAAACATAACATAAACTGATGTTCTTTTCCCAAAAAAAGCACATGAATCAGAAGTGCTGTGCTCCCAGAAGACAAAGATGAGCCTTAGATTGATTATTCCATAAGACAGCAACAAAATAAAGTGCTGCTGTGCCCATTTTGTCCCTTTGCCCTGAGATCTGCTCCCTGCTCCCATCTCAACCGTTCCTTCCCATCCCTGGAAGGGGAATGACCCACGGAGAGTGGTTTTTCCAGACATCTGCAGTGTCTGACTGGCTTGAAGGAAGAAGCATCAGATTAGAGAGAAGCAAGGAACTTCCTTGCTTCCCATCTCTACCTCAGATGCCTTCTCCAGCATGATGAGAGGCTCTTCCTTTATGGAGTCACTTTCTGAGGTTTGAGCTGTCATTGGCTGGCTTGCTGCCTTGTAAACTTTTCATCTGCCCTGTCACTTTGCAAGGATGATAGTGACTTCCCATTACTCACTGTCTCCTGCCTGGCTGTGGATTACTCCACCACCTGGGTAACCTCTCCTTGTACTAGAACCCCACACATATTCCAGGGTTGAGATTTCTTCATTCTTCTGCAGTCCTATGCACAGGCCTAAAGAACTGCATGCAGCACTAAGTCATATTTGGAGATATGTCCATTATCTTTTTGTCAACAAACAGGGTGATGTGGTGACAAGAGCTAAGGCAAGGACAGTAAGCAAACCTGAGTGCAAATCCTGCCAACGTTGCTTGCTATCCTTTCCCTTCCCTTCTCTTCCTTTAAAAACAATAAATTTCTCTTCCTTTCTTGTTTAACTCTGCTGCCCAGAGTGTTCTCAAATCCTGGGCTCAAGGGATCCTCAATGTCTCAGGTTCTCAGGTAGCTGGGACTATAGGCATGTACCACCATGCCTGGCATATTCGGAGATTTTTTTGGTGCATCTTTGATCTTTGATCATTTCATCCTAGAGCCAGTGCCACCCAAGTCATCAGCATAAGACACCTATACTTATTCTGCATTTTTGCACTTGCCTCAACGTAAAGAATCAGAGTATTTCAGTGTGTATTTTCTAATGTGTTTGTAGGTAGGCTTTGTGTGTTGAGATACATTTTATTTTGTTATGAGTTGTTTTCTTAGTTTTTATCATTACCACCATGGCATTATATCCATTTTTTTTTAAAAAAAATCTATCTGGTGAGTGATATGCACACACTGATTTACATCGCATGTGAAGGACATTCCTAAGAAAAGGGTTGCCCATGTCAGAAGGAAACTCACTTTAAAAAAGCAGTTGGATAATAAGGGGTGGGAGTGGACGGGGAAAGTATAGTATATACATGTGTAAAATACCGCTTTGAAACCTTTGGACAATTAGTATACACTAAGTAAAATGAATGACAACAATGAAAAACAAGTTCTGGGGTAAGGAAGACAAAAGTGGAAGGGGAAGGAGAATGGAAAGGGTGGAGAGGATTAAAGTGATTGAAATGCTTGATATACACGTGTGAAAATGAAACAAAGAAACTTGTTGAGATTGGCTTGGGAAAGAGGGAAATGGGGATGATGGAGAATTACGGAGAGAGTGATTCTGATGAAGGTACAATGATGCATATATAGGCATGTCAAAATGAAACCACTTTTTACAACTAGCCAATGCTAAGAAAAAAATATGTAGGGAAAATTGTAAAATTAAAATAAAAGCCAGGCGCTGGTGGCTCATGCCTGAAATCCTAACTACTCAGGAGGCTGAGATCTGAAGATCACAGTTCAAATCCAGTTCAGGTAGAAAAGTCCCCATGACTCTTGCCTCTAATTAACCACTCAAAAACTAGAAATAGTGCTGTGGCTCAAGTGGTAGAGCATTAGCCTTGGCACCAAGAGGCTCAAGGACAGAGGCTTTGAGTTCAAGGCTGACAACCGACAAAAAAAGTAACTTACTCAAACTTTTAATACAGGTTATAATTAATATAAGCATGCACACACATATGCATACAGACATACATGCGTATACACACACACACACACACACACAAATGGTGCTCTTTGGGGCTGACAGAATTAAGAACTACAGGGTCTGC